TCCCTCTGGGTGGTAGGGTGGGGGAACCTCTACGCAAGCGGTGTTTCTCCTTCTTGAATTCCCGGTGAAAAGCTTCCTGCAGTCTTGCATGACAGGTATGTTCCAAAGGCAGACGGAAAAAGGACCTCACCCATCACATGCTGCCTATTTATGTGGTCGTTGCCAAATGGTGGTAGGATACAGCTCAGAGCCTAGAGTCAAGCAAAGCAATGTGCTCACCTGACTGGAGATGCTTTCTAGTTGAATCCGCACCTGCAGGAGGAAGAGGATGATGGCTCGCCTGAAAAGATGGGCTGGTGTGTGGCTTAGAGTTCGCTCTTAGATCGGGAGCTCCGGCTGGATTGAGTACGGCTACTGTAGGTCAGGGCAAATGCCTGGAATGCCGCCTTGGACCCAGAGGGCAAGGACCAGAAGCTGTTGCTTTGATGTTTTGCAGAACCAGACGAACCAAAAACCATCGCGCTTCTGCGGGCAAAAGGCGCTTTCTTTGTGCGATGCACATGGAAGACATTACGCTGGAGACAGGTATACCCATGCACAAAATCAATGCGTATGTTGATGAGTCCTAAAGATGTATATATGTTCAATTCCATTATATAGGCCTATTAGGCAACTCCTGGCCAAGAGTCCAACAATCTTGCAACAGTGCAAAGATTGTAATAGTGTGTGCCTTGTCAAAGTGGGAGTAGGAAATGCCCAATAAGCTTTTGACTTGCTGGAGAGTAGCACCAGGGAACATCTTTGAGATGTTTTGAGATGGTTCTAAACCACCAGCTGCTTAGGCTAAACCCCATGATGGCCATGATGGCCGCCGCTGGAAATGGCACAGGCACACTCTCGGTGAATCTGGCTCACGAGTTTTCAAGACTGAAACTCCCCCACTGGGCAACACGATGAGCCACAAAGACACATGCACAGACTGACTGGTGCTTAGTAGGGAATAAGGGAATGAGCCCCCAATAGAGATTCTATTGCATCCATTCCCTCATTCCCTGCGAAGCACCAGTCTGCAGAAGTCAAATACCTACGCCGACGCCTGAGAAAACATTGGGGGCAGCACATCAGCAATGTTTGTCAGGTTGGGTCCTGGTTGAAGCAGACTTGAGGGACATAGGGTTACTCGTACACTAGATCAATAGGTTTGCACCGGCTTGTGAGTTAATGTTATTGTCCAACGAAACTTAACAACATACCATTGTCCAGTTTCATAGATATCGACGTGATCTCGACTGCAAGTTCAATCGAAGGGGGATACATAGAGACCCTCCAACATTTCCAGCATGTGAGAGTGATAGCTTTCGTGCTCCAACCGCTACGTTTCGTTGAAAAGATCCGCTTGAAGACCAGTGGGTGGTGAAGGCTTGGCCTTGGGTTGCCCGGTTTCAGGCCATGCTGGCCATGCCGGCCATGCCTTTCAGTCAGCTTCAGGAGGCCTTCTGAGGGAAGCGCTGAGAATGGAAGGATTTTCTGGAGCCGTTGGAACTCACACAGCTATTTGTTGAAGGAGACAGTGACGAGTGACAGTTGTTTGTAATGCTGATCATTTTGATTTGAACAAATATGACTAACACAGTGTAAGAAGCACCCAGAAAAATAAAAAAACAACACCACAAGAGCTAGATTATGTTACATCTGAGTTTTTCTGCCCACACGTTTCATCTCCATCACCATAGAATTGAGCAACCCTGGTTTCATCGACCCTTGAATCCTCGAAGTCTTTGCTTGCAGGCAAAGGAAAAGGATGGGACTGGGGCTTTCAGCAAGGTGCTCCCATGCACTGGTGTTTCTTTTTGCTAGGGCGTAAGACTGTGAGATAGTGTGAGTGTTTTGGGTGTTGGCAGATCCTTGTTGTTTTGCATGGTAAAGCAAGACAAAGATTGCTTTGAGTCTTTGAGCAGAATCTTTTGAGTCTAAAGAGCACATTCAAAGCTGCGCAAAGCTCATGGCGTTTTGTTCTTTGGGCAACTCCAAGGCGAGTTCCCGGTGCTGCCAGGTGCTGAGGTCGCTTACGGAGTTCCCGGCTATGCCGACGGCTACGGGGCGAAAGGTGCCCAGGGGGCCTCCGTGCCCGGCTGGAACGGCGCGGCCGCTCCGCCCGCTCCGCCCGCTCGGGCCGAGACGCCGCCCTGGCGGACGGCCGCAGCCAGCCGGCTACCACCGCCGCCGAAGGGTTGGCAGAAAGGGGAGGAAGCCAAGGGAGGCGGCCATGGAGGCGGAGGCCAGGGAGGCCATCTATTTCCTGCTGGTTTTCTCTTTGGAAAAGCTGGGAAAGGGACTCTTGGATGAGTTTGAAGTGCTTGTGTTATAGGCTTTGGATGTGGTGCCCGAAACCACTAAGGAAAGGCTGGTGATGTTTGATGATGACCGGAAATGTGCAATAAACCTGTACATAGATAGAATACACGTCATCCGAGGCTTCCAGCCAATGGAACTTACCATCAACTACTTCAGAAGCCAAACACATGCTGGAAACCTTTGGCTAGGGTCGATCGGATTGCCCGAGCCGTACGAAAAGATACTTTACATGATTGACGTGATGACCTGCGTTTCAGGAAACCGGCCCGCTTGGACGTTAGCAAATCGTAGCTGATTTGCTTGACCTCTGGGATAAATATGATAAATCCAATGCTTACAGGAAGACAAACACGCTAGGTCAGATTGATCATTGAAGGTTGAGTCTGAATTCTGCACTGAGTATTTTGCCTCGATGATCCAACTCAGTCAAGTACAAAATCTCTTGTCCGATGGTAACACTAGATGCCAGGAGAGTCCCGCAGCCATTTCATTCTCACCAGCCAAAATTGGCCGAAGACAGGAGACCCAGCCACATACCTAGATATACCTTTTGGGAGACCCGGACCATCAAAGCTAGTTGTATGGTCATGCACACAGGAGTTGAGGCCTTCCCTAAAAACTTCCATGGCTGAGGCGGGAGCACTCTCAGACAAGTTTGCAATGTTTGTTTCTTTTGCTTTCGTGAAGTATCTCTATGTTTGTCAAGACGAGGACCGGTGGATTTCCCAATGTTTGGTGCGGATTCTAGCAGATCTATATCAAATACTTATGTAACTATTAAGTTTAGTAAAGACATCTCCGAAGGATACCCTTTTTTGCACTTACTCCTTTGACCACGGCAAGTCTGAAGGATCCGCATCTCCTTCGCCATACATCTGCCCTGTTTGTGTAGGTCATATCCCAAGGACCCCAGGTTGCAGTGCCATGCGCTATGTTTTGTGTCCATTCTTTGCATGGGGTGAGCACTCGGCCATGAACGGCTGGTTGTGACTGAGAGCGGCTGCTCTTGACAGGTTGCTGCTACTCTCTTGGATGAGTCTTCTGAAGAAGGTCTGGGAATTTCAGGGCAAACCGTGTGTTTATGACACATCTTCCCCACGGCTGGTCAATGATGGGAAAGAGCAGTTGTCATCCCCATCTTCAGAAAAGTGCGAGTAGTGCCGAGATACCCAACTGGAGTTGGCCATGACATCCAGTGTTGTGCGAGCAAAGATTGGACGATGGCCATTATCATTCTTGATGCAGGGGATTTATGGAGGCCATTTTGCCTACATACACCTCAGCAAGGTACTGTACCCCTCAACCAAAGCCTTCGCCTCATCAGATGCCGCTGCAGCAGTACCAGCAGCTGTGGTAACACCATTGCCCAGGCTTCACAAACGGCCAGTGAGCTGGTTTCATTTACGACGACTTCTGCCTTCATCCACTTCGAAGGAATGCTACCAGTTTTTGTATGCGCTTAAAGAGCAGGTTAATAAACAGTGTTGAAAGTTGACTCCACTTTTTGGTTGGGTTGCTGAAGTTTGGGCCAGCTTAGAGCAAGCGTGACGGCAAGGGAGGGAGAAGACTGGTTGGGGGGAACCTTGGCCGCCAGGAAGCGCCGTAATAGAGGCCAGGAAGCTGAAGCCTGCTGCAAAAAAAGACATGGAGATTTGAAGAAATGGCCGCCTTAGTCTACTTACTTTGATGACATTGGAGGAAACAAAGGACACAAACCAACCAAACCAACGAAACCGATGCAGAAAGGTCATTGTAGAATATTGTAGATTGTGGCTGTTGAATTCTTCCTTCTCTACCCAGTCGTGTGCGGGATGGAATTCGTGTTGCTTTCAGGATGCCTGGACGCAACACCGCACAAGACTCCACGGCTCTCACCAAGGCGGCCCGAAGTGAAACGTCTTCAGCCAGACGAGACAGTGACGTATTCAGCCAGATACCTATATCAGACACAACTTCCAAATAGTTTCCTATGAAATTTGCTTCTTCAAGACCCTTCAGGCGTTGTAGGCATTTGTGAAGGACCAGGGTCGATCCAGGTCATTGCCTTGACTTTGCTTGCCAACTGCACCAGGCTGAAGGAGCTCAAAGCGAAACAGCTCCTTGCAGCAGACCGTGAGGCACGGTCTGAGTAGCGGGAGGCACGGATTGTGGGAAGAGTTTGGATCATGCCATGGTAGTTCCGCTAGAGATCTTCATCGAGCGGAATGACACAGAGATCGTCAGAGTTTCAAGGCAAGAGGAGGTGACCAAATAAGGCTCCGCGGAAGGAGCCAGAATCACATATCCTCGGAGGAATCGGAAAGCATGACAAATATTTGGTCAATATTCACGCGAAGAGCTCCACAAGCTGCCGGACCCCAATAGAATGATGGTACTCGGACAAAATCAGGCTGAGGGAGTGGTTTGAAAGTACGTGGGAAGCATAAACCATCAACCAGTGTAGGACAAGAACTTTGAACATGATTGAAACCAGACTGCCAGGATTCCTGTATCGCAAAGGTTGCAGGGACATGCTTCTAAATCTTGCAGCCACCCCACTATCGATCCTTCATTCCACACATCCTTGATGTTCCCTTAGGTCTTTCATTCCTGTCTCCTCCTCCACTCTGGTCTTTGTCCTTGGTCTCCGATGCAGTCCATGCGGGCAGGCGCCGTGCCCGGTGCCGGCACCGGTGCCGCCGGCCAGAAGGGCGGCGGCGAACCCGCCGGTGCTGGCACTCAGTGGGGTGCAGCTGCCGGTGGGCGAGCTGCGCCGAGCCATGGAGGCGAACACGTTCCACCTGCCCTTTAGCCGCTTTTGTTTTGTTTTTTGGAAAGAATAAGAACTCATCATGAAACACCGAAACACATGACAGGAGACACACACTCATGGATATGCGTACTGATGTGAATGCGGTGCCACACGCC